TGGCGGCGTATAATACGGGCCAATCTATTTTTGTAAATCGTTACCTAACTCCAACAGCTGTTTTACTTAGGAGCCGGCTTGTGGCGGATAAAAGCAAATTAGGCTTTCATTAAAAGAAAAAAAAAATACAAAAATTAAAGCCATAGATGTTCCTACTGTACAAAGTCCTAGTTAGCCTTTCTTTTCCTTTCCTCCTTCACATAATTCCCATAATTATTTCATTTTCTTTTTCTTTACCCTTTCCTTTCCCTTTTCTCATCCCCTTATTTACCATTATTCCCTCTCCTTTCCCATTTAATTTTTCTTTTCCTATTCTCTTCCTTTCCTTCACTTTCCTATTTCTTTTAATCTAATCCCTTTACTTCCTTTTCTGTTTCCTTCTTTACCCTTTACATCCTTTCCTTTCCCATTTCCTTTCATTTCCACATTCCTTATGCCTTCCTTTCCTTCCTTTCTCCTTCCTATTCCCCTTTCTTTCCTTCACTTTGTAATTTCTTTTCAACCATTTCCTTTTCTTCCTTTTTCTCTTTCCCTTTCTTTCCTATTCCTATAATACCACTGTCTTCCTTTCCATTCCCTTTTCTTCCTTTTTCTATCTCTTTCTCTTTCTATCCTTTCCCATTTCCTTACATTTCCTGTTTCCTTTACCCTTATTTTCTTCCTTTATTTTTCCTGCTCCCTTTACTGTCCATCATTTTCCTATTTCTTTTCATCCATTCCCTTTCCTTTATTTTCCTAATGTCTTCATTCCCTTTTTCCATCTCCTCTTTACCCTTTACATCCTTTCCTTTCCAATTTCCTTTAATTTCCTCTTTTATTTACCCTTCCTTTTCCTTTCTTTTCGTCCTCCCTTCCCCTTCATACTCCCTATACTTTCCTTCACGTTTCTATTGCTTTCCATCCACTCTCTTTCCTTCCTTTTTCTTTTTCCCTTTCTTTCCTATTCCTATCATTCCACTGCCTTCCTTTTCCATTCCCTCTCCTTCCTTTTTTATTTCCTTTCCTTCCCCTACCTTGCCTTTTTAGTTTTGTTTGCCTTTCCATATTCTGTCTCCCGCATACCTCACAGCAACTATCAATCCAAATGCTTGTTGTTTCTTAGTTTGTTTTGTTAGCTTTATAACCTTTAGATTGCCCCGCGCTGCTTCGGGTCATATATGGCAAAACTGACAAGGCTTGCTGCCAAGGTTTAAGAAAGCAACACACAGTTTCTAAGTATGCCGCTCTGTAAAATATTATAAAAGTAGAACTGAAACGTTTTTGTTTTATTTTGGATGGATTAAAGGAGAACTATGAGATGGGTGATTTCCACTCACCTCATAGTTCTAGCCGACCTGTGACAATGAGACTGTCACAGGTCGGCTCAGTAGATCGGGAAGTGAGCGAACACATACCGGGTTCGCTCACCTCTCGATCTTGTCACGGCTCTCTGCCGTGACAGGGGAGGGGCTGGATTCCCCCCTCCCTGCTCCGATCTGCCAGCGCTGACTGGCGGAACGGACGGGGAGGGGGCGGGTACAGCGGGCTCTGCCTCTAGATAGGCAGAGCCAGCTGTCACTCACGCAGCTGGGCGGATCCCGTCGTCTAAGTCGGGATCCGCTGCGGCGTCTCAGTATACCGCGAGCTTAGCTCGCGGTATACTGAGCTTAGGGTAACGGGAGGACGCTAGTTTGTGTCCTCCCGTTACCCTAAGGAGAACTATGGGGAAAAACACTGACCCCATAGCTTTTTTTGCCATCTGTGGAGAGGGAAATCTCTGGTGGTCAACAGAACTAGTGTCCCCATTGGATGATTTCCCATCTATTCCTTTTTTCGGATGACAAACACTCTCAGTGATAATGGTCATCAGGACAAATGGTGGTGGTGGTGAGACAGAAGCCTTCTCTCCTGGTACCAGTAATGTCTTCCTGGAGCCACTCAGCCCCTCTGGCTGAGAACCCTGGGTGACTTTGAGGCCACCTAACACCGTGGTATTGCCTCACAATGCCACAATATATATATATACTGTGTATATATACTGTATATATATATATATACATACATATATACACACACATATATATATATAACAGTTCAGTAGTTCTGGCATTCAGTTATTTATGATCATTTTAGAGTAACATAATAGAAACTAGAATTTCCTGTTAATTGCCATTAAAGCAGTCTGTAGACTAAACCAGGAGCGGGGCTACCGGCACCTAATCTTGTTATCAAGATCTAAATTGCCCCGTAATCTAGATAATTTGTATCGATCGTCTTGTGTATAAAAATAGAATCATCGATAGATGACAATGTCCAAGATAAGCAAAGCCCAGACAGAAGCTGCGAGGTCAGGGCAACAAAGCAACGGAGAGCGAGCTACTTCTCTTGTGCGGGCACATTGATCGAATCTGGTGGCCAGCGGGAGTAATCCATTTATGAATCAAAGGTCACATGACCCGCCCGTGGTTCAATAACCCCCTTTTGTATAAAAGCAGAAGTTGCTTAATTAAGCAGAAAGCGCACGCTGATCAGAGTTAGTTTAATGCTCAGATAGGTGCGTCTCAGAATCCCAGGGATGTTTAAAGTGGCAGGTTTGTCGATAGCTGATGTCCAACTTTATTGCTCTGCTACTGATGACTGGTCTACTTTCAATAACAATTGACATCATTGTATAGATAATATCATCTGCACCTAACTAACCACATTTAAAGGTAAATATTACCGGGACGGGGCTTAGGGCCACAGTCAGTGGCACTACGCCCCATCTCGCTGAACCCCTCACCCCCCCACCCCCCCCACTACAGGGAAGGGGTTAGTCCCAAAATCACAGAAGACCTAGATCTTAGTAACAAAGACAAACCAGGATCAGAGGGGTCTGAAGAAGCTTTTCTTAACACTATGGTGTCTGTTTTAGGCGGGACAATTAAAACATGTTCACATTAAGTTCACTGCTGATAATACAAACATTGGTTAATGTAACATTTATTCACTACTCTCACATGTGTAAAATCTTTCTTGTGAATAGAAGGATCATTTGCATTAAAGACTGTTTGTCCGAGGGATCAGCCACAAGTCTGGAGAGCTGGGGTCTCCTGTGTTTGAGTAGCTGTAGTGTTTTGTTATTATCATGGGGTATGCTTATCATATGCCCAGTGAATATTTACCTAAAAGATTTCCCTGAAAATAACACAGGATTCACTCATCCGTTCCTGCGGACATTCACTCTGTTTAGTATGCAGGCAGCCCATGGGTGATAGACATGTAAGCTGCGGAAAAGTTTGGTTCGGATATTTTGGGACTCGGATCCAATATTCAATTCTGTTTGGGTTTCAGACTCGGACGAAATCCGAATTTTCCTTAGTTTCGGATGAGTTTATGAATATTCGCTGCGCATGCCACAGAAAACCATTTACAGATATTAATACTTAATCTCCTAGACCCGAATGAGTCCAAATTTCCAAACACCATTCGGAAACTCCTGAAAGCACTACGGGTCTGGGAACAATACTAAATCTGAGGCTTCCAGACCTGAATGGCATTCTGGAGCTCCCGAATGCAATTCGGAAATTCTGATCCTGAATGCCATTCGGGTCTGGGAGCCATATACACATATTACTAAAGCTGAGGCTCCCAGACCCGAATAGCTTTCAAGAGCTCCTGAATGCAATTCGGAAATTCGGATCCCGAATGCCATTCAGTTCTGGGAGCCTCAGCTTTAGTATTATATGTATATACTGTATATGACTCCCATGTTGCCGTAACGACAATTCGTGTTCAGACCCATTCGGAGGCATTAAATTGAAAAACACATCTGATTGGCCGGAAAAGTCAGATGTCCAATTCAGTTTAGTTTTTGATCGAAATTCGGACAGGATCCGAATTTCCGTTTAGGACACATTCGGAGGCATTGGGATTCGGATATTCGGATGTGTCCGAATGCACAAAATTTGTCCGAATAACTCAATGTTGCCGAGTCAAATGTCATTCGAATGTTTAAAGCCCAACTCTGGCTACTATGCGGTTGCAGTTCAGTAAGCTGTAGGGGCCCTTTGCTGTAAACTGACCTGCCATAATTAGATCTTCCCATTTCTCCCACCATATCTGGGAAGTCCAGGTCTTTCTGAACTGTGTGCGCTCCAGCTCTCATGGACTTTGTATCTCCATCCTCATCTCCTTGTGGCCAGTCTCAAAATGCAGCCTGGGGCTGTTTGCTTTGCGATTGGCCAAGAGGGGATTGGGGTGGAGATGCGACCACAGCACTGAGGTCTATGAGACCCTCAACGCTACAGCAGGAGTGGGCACAGAAGTTGAATGGGAGCTGGACTTCCACCCGCAGGTACACTGAGGATTTGGGGGGAGAAGGAGTAAGATCTAATTATGGCAGGTCAATTTACAGCAAAGGGATTATACAACCAACTGAACTGCATAGATTATATTGGGTTAGCTGAGCCTAGGGTGACGGGAGGACGCTAGTTTGTGTCCTCCCGTTACCCTAAGGAGAACTATGGGGAAAAACCCCGACCCCATAGTTCTCCTTTAAATCTCAACCACAGGCACAGAAATTTTTTAATCTTTAATCACCACACAAACAATGTCATTCTTTTACAACTTTGGGAGCTCTCTAAACTCCACTGGGAGCTCCTGATATGTACAGTGGGGAGCCGGAACATCAGAACTCGTCTATGATCGGCAATTCCCAAGTGATGATTCTACACCTGTGCTTTGTGATAAGTGTTGATTGAAGAATACACAAACATAAAAATCGCTGTGCCCGGGCTTGGGCTGTAGAGTGCACTAGAGGTTATTTTTTTTTTTTATTAATGGTTGAACCTCGGAAGAAATGTTTTGGCCGAATTTTGTTGATCAATATGACGGTTCTTTCATATCCCTCCCGGCATTCGATTTCCATGGTGCTGAAACTTTGTATACAGCTGTGTGAATCATGAGTGAAAACAATAATAAGTATGCAGTGTATGTGATCCTATGTAGACTTGTGACTCGGGGTGCTGTTCTCTTTGCAGATCTATCAGAGGTGTTGGTTAGTATTCAAGAAAGCATCTAGCAAAGGGCCGAAGCGTCTGGAGAAGTTTTCTGATGAGCGAGCCGCGTATTTTCGATGTTACCATAAGGTAATTTTTATATTCTATTGAAGTTATTAGTTGTGATCTTCTATGCTGGCTTCGCAGTCATTCAGCAGGAGCAGGGGGGCAGATTTACATTGCTGGAGTTCGTGTACAGGACTGCTTGTGTGTGCACAGGCAACGTATGTAAGTAGGGCTGTGGTTCCAGCATGAGTGTGCATGTAAGGGTGGCTCCATAGGACTCTGCAAGGCAATGGAGCAAAACGAAAACAGGAAACAAAGAGGAGCAACTTTTATTGGATTGAAGCCTTGCTCAATCAGCCAGTAAGATAGTACAGTCTTGCTCATCTGGCCACTATAGGAGTGAAGCCTTGCTCAAATGGCAAGTGAGGGAGCATGGTCTTGCTCATCCAGTCACTAGTGGAGTGAAGCCTTGCTTATCCATCCAGTAAGAGAGTACAGTCTTGCCCATCAAGCCACTAAGATAGCAAAGCTTTGCTCATCTGAGCAGTTAGGGAGTATGGTCTTGCTCATCCATCCACTTGCTTATATAGTCAGTAAGGGAGTACGGTTTTGCTCATACAGCCACTAAGAGAGTAAAGCCTTGTTCATCTGGCTAGTAAGAGAATATGATCTTGCTTTTCCGTTCATTAAGGGAGTAAAGCCTTGTTTATCTGGCTAGTAAGGGAATATGGCCTTGCTCATCCTGCCAGTAAGGGAGTAAAGTCTTGCTCATCCAGCCACTAAGGAAGTGAAGCCTTGCTCATCCAGCCAATAAGGAAGTGAAGCCTTGCTCATCCAGCCAGTAAGGCAGTAAAGTCTCGCTCATCCTGCCAGTAAGGGAGTAAAGTCTCGCTCATCCTGCCAGTAAGGGAGTAAAGTCTCGCTCATCCTGCCAATAAGGGAGTAAAGTCTCGCTCATTCTGCCAAAAGGGAGTAAAGTCTTGCTCATCCAGCCACTAAGGGAGTAAAGTCTCACTCATCCTGCCAATAAGGGAGTAAAGTCTCACTCATCCTGCCAGTAAGGGAGTAAAGTCTCGCTCATCCTGCCAATAAGGGAGTAAAGTCTCGCTCATCCTGCCAATAAGGGAGTAAAGTCTCACTTATCCTGCCAGTAAGGGAGTAAAGTCTCGCTCATTCTGCCAAAAGGGAGTAAAGTCTCGCTCATCCTGCCAGTAAGGGAGTAAAGTCTCGCTCATCCTGCCAATAAGGGAGTAAAGTCTCGCTCATTCTGCCAAAAGGGAGTAAAGTCTTGCTCATCCAGCCACTAAGGGAGTAAAGTCTCGCTCATCCAGCCACTAAGGGAGTAAAGTCTCGCTCATCCTGCCAGTAAGGGAGTAAAGTCTTGCTCATCCAGCCACTAAGGGACTGATGCAAGGATACAGAAGTATAGTCTTTGCTGCTTGAGTGACATGTAGATCCCTGTTACAGCAGCAATTGTCATTCTGCAGCATTTTCGGCCCAGCGAGGGATCCAGGCATGGAAACAGGTGAATCTTTTCTCTGCACTTCTTAGTGATCCTGAGTTGCTGCCAGTAACAGGTTCATCAATGTGCACCGACCCTTACTGGTTTTATAGTTTTTGGGGTTCAGTGCAGGTTTCTTTGTTGCTATAATATGCGGCTGGTTGGAATAAAGTTATTTCTTTGAAACTGTGTACAATGTGTATGAGCTTGCAGCCTTCTGTCTGACTGCTAAAAATAGCCTGTGTGCTCCGGCACTAATATATGCTAGAGAATAGTCTTCCCATATGGTGTGCGGCATTAGGAGAATCGAGGCGTTCACAAGACATTTGTTCCAATAACTGCACAATATGGCAAGTCTTCCCAAGCAGTACCTGCTCCAGCGCACAAGAGATTCAACACCAAAAATTCCTAATCGCATCCACTCCCCCGCCTTTCCAATCCCCGGTCATTATTTTAGATAGAGAGACTAACCTTCGGTTTTTAAACCCAACCAAACTTGAAATCAGCATTTTAATATAATTTCAAAAGACATTTTCAGTCTTTTGAAATCTACAGCTTACATTTAAACTAATGCCGGGTGATCCTGCCATGCAAGTCAATGTTAAGAAACTTCCTTTTATGGTGTGACAAGTTGTAACAATCAGGAAGCCGGTGCTCTGTAGAAATAGCCACCTTGTCAAGATCTGCAACCAAGTCACTTCCGGTGACTTGGCAGCAGGAGGTTTTCACAAATTGGCGGTAGTGCACATGCACGTGTGCACACCCAGCTGCATAACAAGAAGCCAATTAGAATACTCATCAAGTTTTCCAAGCTGCCAGTGTGCATACGCTGATATATAATGCCACTGTATTAGCTTTATACCAGCACATGTGCACTGGCAGAAGTTGGACAGCTCAACAAGTATTCTTATGCATTTTTTTGTTATGCAGCCACGTGTGCTACTGCCAACTCGTCAAAATCTCCTGCTGGCAAGTCACGGGAAGTGACACGTTTGCACAACGCGACGAGTTGGCTATTTCGACAGGACACCGGCCCAGAGCAACGGTTTTTGGCCTTAGATACAGTTTAACCTATGGCCTCTCACATCTATATCTTAAAATTACTTTAACTTGAGTGTAGATTTGTTTTACAAACAATAAAAATGCATGGGGGTCTAATTATAAACAATTCCCAGATCTGTACTGTGCAAATAGAGGCAGGAAGGAACATTCTTAGTGTATTTTCTTTTCAGAACGAATGTAAACACCACAATATGGCCACTAGATGCAGCTGAGGAGCACAGGAAATTAATAATTCTTTCCCATGCTCCTCCGCTCCATCTAGGGGCCATAATGTGGTATTACGTTCAGTTGTTTTTGCCTCTATTCACACAGAAGGAACGTTCCTAGGATATTTTCTTTTCCGGGCAAGTGTAATGTAATACCGAATTATGTCCACTAGATGGCGCTGGGGAGCACGGGATATTAAGAATTCTTTCCCATGCTCCTTAGCTCCATCTAGGGGCCATAATGTGGTATTAAGTTCAGTTGTTTTTGCCTCTATTCACACAGAACGAACGTTCCTAGGCTATTTTCTTTTCCGGGCAAGTGTAAATGTAATACCGAATTATGTCCACTAGATGGCGCTGGGAGCATGGGATATTAAGAATTCTTTCCCATGCTACCTTGCTCCATCTAGGGGCCATAATGTGGTATTACATTCAGCCATTTTTGCCTCTATTTGCACAGAACAAACGTTCATTCACAGATATTTGCAGGGAGAATGGCTCTGTGAATTGTTTATAAATAAACCCCTTCATTGTATAATAGTGTATATTGAATATAACATATCTTTATACAGATGCATACATCAGACAAACTGTTGAGTAATGGATCTGATAAAAGGACATTAGGCAGCTACGGCTATATCAAAAGAAATTCATAAACTGTACGCGGCAGAAAATGTTAAACGGCCTCATAGCTAACATCAGGGTCATCCTGCTCTTCTAGGCTGTCGGTTCCTTGTTCCAATAATGAAGCTGTTTGTACATTTTCTCAGACCCCAATCAATATCCGTTTTTGTGGCATGATGCAGGGTCAGCAGCCAGAACAGGTACATCTGGACGTTCCGTTAATTGGAAAAAGAGTGCAGCCGGAGAGGCTATTAATTCTAGTCTTTGTTAGCGGCCTGCAAATTATACAGCCGGCGTGTACTGCCCGAGCATGTCAGGGGAAGGCATGAAAAGAGCATTCATGTTATCTGAGCCTTCATTTGTGTCTCCCATTACCTGGCTCTTGTTTTCCTGACAGGTTTAACACTTTGAGATGCTTCCCTGGCGCCGGCCGGGATCTGTGCCCCGGCCACAATGGAAAATTGTAAAGGAGAGCAGATTCCCAAAGACAATGACAGCTTATAGAGACCTGTCAATAGAAGCTTGTGCATGTATAGTACATGGGTACAGGTAATATACAGGGGTACAGGTAATATACAGGGGTACGGGTAATATACAGGGGTACAGGTAATATACAGGTACTCCTAGAATGAGATCCTAATAGGTTGGACTTGATGGACTAATGTCTTTATTCAACCTCAAATACTATGTAACTATGTCACATTGTATACTGCAGAGTAATAATGTATATATCTAGGGGCGTCCCGAGGCTGGGTGTCACCCGGAGGCGAGACTGGGTGACACCGTGACGTCATCGCGCAATGCGCGGTCATCTTATTGACGCCTGCCGGCGTCCATCACCAAGAAAGAGGAGGGGGCGTTCACCCGGTGGGATGAGGTATGCCCCCGGGTCCCCTCTCTCTCCTGACACTGTCGGGCTCTCGGTCCATGACCAAGTGCCCGACTTTTTAGAGGGGGTGAAACCAAAATGACTGTCAGTCATTTTGGTGTAACCCCTCCAATTGTGTCAACCGGGTGCGGGCCGCACCCCCTGCACCCCCCTTGTGACGCCACTGTATATATCTATAGGGTTATAGTTATAGGGGAACTAACGCTGGAAGCTGTGCTGAAAAAAAAGCAGGCAGAGGGCAAAGGACTAATGCAATGTCCGTTGTCTCCCTGTAGCTGGATTTTTCCCAATTTCTGACTTACCATACCTTGTCTTGTATTGTATCTCTGTGTGGAGGCCGCCATCTTGGTAGAGGCAGGGCTTTACTTCCTCATGAGCCTCCTGCAAGGAGAACAGTGAGCAGCACAGTAACGACATCACCAAACCCCATTTCAAAATCTTCTAAAGCTTGTAGTCGGTGGTGGCAGTGCCTTAGATCAGCCTTTCTCAACCAGGGGGCCTTCTGGCTTCCTCAGGGGTGTCTCGAAATTTTTGCACAATGGCATGCCTTTCCATGGTCCAGGCAAACCAGCCGCCAGCAGCAGCAGGGAAATGAATGATGCTAATCCAGGGAGGGAGGGGCATCCGTTCAGAAAAGCATGTCCATCCAGTCCTGCTCTACCTCTGCCACTCTGCCTCAGCTCATGTTTGCATTCAATAGGCAGTGGGTCAATAACCCTCCTGAGTTGTCACCTTGTCACTCGAGCTTCCCATGGAGGCTACAGATGGCTGTTTCAACACACATTGCACATTTGGGGCTCTTTCAGACAGGTGTATACACCCGTAAAATGGCCCAGTCCCGGAAGGGACAGGTTCCCTCCCATAAGGAACAACAGGCTGCTGCACTCCATTACACGCAGCACCTGTCCCTTCGGGATCGAGTCTTATTACAGGCGTGCATGCCTTATGGACTTGCACGTCCGTCTGAATGAGCACTTATAGTCCACTGTTCTCACCATCATGAAACCTATCCTGAGAAACGCCATACAGCCACTGCTAGAGCGCATGTAGACAAAACGTGGCCGCAAAGAGGCTGCAGGAGATCATTAACACTGAAGATGGAAAAATGGCTGAATAAAAGGTGAAAACGGGATATTATTTTTTTTTATAATGCACAGAACAAACTACACATCCCGTAAACATATCTAATATAAGAGGACGTAATGTATTTGTAAAATACATTGTATATTGTATACTGTATATTATTAATTGGGCAATTCGTTACTAAAGTGGCCGCAGAGTGTTCTGTATATTATATTTTATTGGAGCAATGATGCAATAAAATTCCTGCACTTCAGCACGCTGCCATGAATGTTTACCATCTGTTCATGATACATATATCTCGTAGCTAAGATGGTATTTATAAACGGGGGTCATAAAAGGCAGAAATGACAGTTATAATCATGGTTAGTGCAGTTGCTATGGTAGGGCTGTGCTGCGGTCTTCTGAGACAGAATTGTGAGACGTAGAGTAATTATAGGGTTGTAAGGGGGTGTTGGTTATGTCTTGGAGCATATACCTCTTGATGGGATCTATCAAGGCTACTCTTTACATGGATACCTAGAAGCCTGTCACTTGGTCTGAACCATTTTGGCTGCACCAGGCCAGGGAAGGTACAATGCCCAGTTTGGGTAAAGCATATTGTCAGCCTGCAGAATGTGTGGCCAGCTCAGCAATTAGGGTCTGACGAGGATCCTGCCACTCCTGTGTCCAGCATAGATTATGCCGATTACAGGGGAGCTCTATGATACTTGGATACAGTCTTAGCTAGTGAGCTCATCCATAGGTGGTCCAGCACAGGGTTGTGCTGATAGAACACCTACAAATACCAGTCCTGTGTCGCAGTGTTTGCTGCCAGCATATCCAGCCAATATTCTGGATAATATACAAAAAAAAGTACTTTTCCTCTTTAACTGTAACAGCAAGTGAAAAATCATTCCATAGATGACCCTTCAAAGTCCATCTTAAGCCAACCAGTGTGGCATGGTTAGAACAGACCTGGGCATTTTACAGCCATGGACCACATCTAGCCCTTTAACTGTCCCTGTCAGGCCTGCGGTCTGAACACAGACTGAGTGCCGGTTCTGTCCAAACTGCGATCGCCAACCTGCCCTCGGTTATGACTGGCTGACAGTGGATGCGATAGCCTCCGATAGCCCAATACAGACCCCCTCCTCTTCAGTCATTGGTTGTTAGGATCGCTGGTGTTCTAGAAACCAATGACGTCAGGTGTCCACCACCTCTGCAGTCATTAGTTTCTAGGACTGCCGGCAGTCCTACAACCAGTGACGTCAAATGTGTTCCCCGCCGTCAGCATTACGGATCTTCTTCCGTCGACTCCTGCAGCCTTCTCCTCCTTCCGTCCTCCTGCCTCTGGCCTGCTAATAAAGTAGTAAACTAAGGTATGAGGGGACAATAATATTAAGTGACACTCTAGGGAACAAACAATGTAACAAGGCACTCTAATGGGGACATGATCACAACCATATAATATAGTTCTGTTTATAAAGTGATACAATTCATATTCAGCAGAATTAAGTTCAGCCAAATGATTTGGACCGCCACAACAGTATCAGTTTCACATGTGGCCCCTTAGGAAAATTAATTGACCACCCCTGGGTTACAACATTGTTCATGTGCCCCATCAAAGAAATTAAGCCTTGATGACACCCTGTAATATTCTGAGTGTCATCGGGAGAAAAAGTAAAGAGAATCTCCCCGACATGAACACTGACAGAGATAAAAACTGGACAGAGGTTCTCACTGTTCCCCATTCCCTCCAAAACTCTAGGAATGTTGTTGTGAAGAATCAGATAACCCCTACGACACACCAAAAATGGCAAGTCATCATACAGTATGTGTAGGTATCACGTACCTGGTGGAGGACCGATTAGCTGAGGAGGCCTCCCTTGCGGCTCTTGTCTCACACCCCAAGGTGCCAAGGTGTTCAGACATGCCTGGTAGAAATCCGGCAACTGGGTCACTGGAAGGATGAGCATGGCTGGTGTTTAGTTGAGAGGTCAATGTGGTCTGCAGCAGTAACTGGAGCAAAGTCAAACAAGCCAGGGGTCAAAGGCAGACGGTCATCATGGTACCAGGGGAGAAGACAGAAGCGAATCCAGAAAACGAGCAGAGGTCAAGGGCAGGCAGCAATCAGGCGTAGTCAAGCAAATCCTGGTCAAGGCAACGGGTAATCAAACTGACTAGAACACACGCTGAAAGACTGTTCAGGACTGACCCATTGGGCCAGCTGGTTTAAATAGGGCCATCCATTAGGGAGCGACGTATCACTTCCTGTGCACCACGTTCCGTTGCGTGCACATGCGCACTAGGCACTAGCACATGTTTTCCGGCAACCCAGAAGACTGGGACCCTCGCATACACAGTAGCGCGCAAACTCCCAGTTATGGCCTCACAGTAGGTCAACCATGATGGCCAATACTTTATGAAAAGTGAAAGGGGCCAGAAGGACACAACAAAGTAGAGTCACCAGTGTGTAGCAAGTCTCTCCAAAGTGAAGTGGAAGTCTCCCTTAGACAGAGCAGGTGTCCCCACAGGAATATTTTCCCTCACCTCATGCTCTTGGGACAGCTGTAAAAGTTGGGATCTTCCATCACTTTCTGTCAGAGTTACAATGGCCACAAAGAGCAAATTGAGAGGGAGCATCTCCCACATAGGGCAATTAAAACATGAGAGGAGTTTAAAACACTTCACTACCCAAAAAAGTTTTGGATGGAGATATACACTGAGTGGCCAGATTATTATGACCACCTGACGTTTGTAGGCAAATTAGCTATAATTTGGCGCTGAAGTTGCTAGAGGGCCAGACCATTATAAATAGGGAAGCAGGTTGGTTACCACGACAGTAGAAGTGATTTGTTTCTGAAGATACGGGGAAACAACGCGACTTAACAGCCTTTGAACGTGGGATGATTGTTGGCGCTCGGAGCCATGGAGCGAGTATCAGAAAAACAGCAGAATTTGTTAAATGTTCAAGAGCAGCTGTTGTTAAAGTGTTTAAAGACCGGACTGTCAGCCGAAAATCTGGGTCTGAACGTGCGAATTGTGGCCGTCAGCGACTAGTCAATGTTAGGGCAGAACGGGGGAGGGGCAAGACTGGTACAAGACAACAGAAGGGCAACAGTGCCGTGTCAGATTCCTCGCATCACCTTTCAACATCTCGTGGAGTCACGAGGCGGCCCAACGAAGTACTGATGGGGTGGTCATAATAATCTGGCCACTCAGTGTACTTTTAATTGAGCAAATGACTGGCACACACCAAGAATGCATTAGGTGAAAGCTGTAGAAAGCTATATAAATGCACTGTACTAATAAACACAATACACTCCTTTGCCTTGCAGGTGACGGAACTGAACAATGTGAAAAACATCCTCCGACTCCCCAAAACCACCAAAAAACACGCAGTGGGCATTTTCTTCGCCGATGACACCTCAAAAACATTTGCCTGTGAATCGGGTGAGTGAACGTGACAGGGTGGGCCGCATCTGATAAGCGCTCCATTGAGTTGCTGACGTCATGCTGCCATCTTCAACGTGGAGAGTTCTTTAACATGCAAAATACGGTGCGCCTTTCAGCGTTCACTGCGCCTCACAGGCTGCGGTCTGATTCAATCAGGGTCTATTAAAAAAGAGTTTGATATGGAACATGAAAGAGAATGTCTTTTCCTCTTCTTATCATCTTTCATAATAAAGGGAATTCAGCGTAAATGGAGCTGCTGGCTGTTGAGATAATTTACTGTGCAGGATAAAATAATATACTACACACGGATTTCTTGGAGGTAGCGATTATTAACCCTTTACACAACCAGCAACCGCTGGAACTTTGGAGTTCTCAGTCAATGGATGTGACAGCCGACAGTGAAATGGAATTTAAAGTCACACTATATGGGCAAAACCATTTGATGGTGATGGTTCCAAAACCATTTGAAGTTAACCCATCCTCTGCAGCTATAACAACCTCCATTTCCCTTTTGGGAAGGCTTTCCATTAGATTTTGGAGTGTCTGTGGACATTTATGTCCATTTAGCCACCAAAAAAACAAATTGACTTTCGGACCCGAATCCCGAAAAATTAAATAATGCAAAATCAAAAACCGAAACAAATTTTTTGCCGGTGCACATGTCTAGTGTACAGGTGAAACTCGAATAATTAGAATATCGTGCAAAGTTCATTTATTTCACTAATGCAACTTAAAAGGTGAAACTAATATATGAGAGAGACTCATTACATGCAAAGCAAGATAGTTCAAGCCGTGATTTGTCATCATTGTGATGATTATGGCTTACAGCTCATGAAAACCCCAAGAACCCCAAATCCACAACCTCAGAAAAGTAGATTATTACATGCAATCAATAAAACAAGGATTGTACATAGAACAATATCGGACCTCTGAAAAGTACAAGCATGCATATGTACTCAGTACTTGGTTTGGGCCCCTTTTGCAGCACTTACTGCAATTACTTTTGCACGATATTCTAATTATTCGAGTTTCACCTGTATGTGTAATGGGCAGGGGTCCACAGACGGTTTGCCATATAGTGTAGGTGTAATGGTCAGGAAACCATAGACTTTTGGCCATGTAGTGTAGGTGCGATGGTCAGGGGTCCACAAACCTTTGCCCATACAGTGTAGGTGTGATGGATATCTGTCCGATGAATAGTAGGTGTGATGGCCAGGGGAACACAGACCTTTGGTCATATAGTGTAGCTGTGATAGTCAGGGGTCCATAGACTTTTGGCCATATAGGGTAAATGTCATGGTTAAAGGTCCACAGATGTTTGGCCATATAGGGTAAATGTCATGGTTAAAGGTCCACAGATGTTTGGCCATATAGGGTAAATGTCATGGTTAAAGGTCCACAGATGTTTGGCCATATAGGGTAAATGTCATGGTTAAAGGTCCACAGATGTTTGGCCATATAGGGTAAATGTCATGGTTAAAGGTCCACAGATGTTTGGCCATATAGGGTAAATGTCATGGTTAAAGGTCCACAGATGTTTGGCCATATAGGGTAAATGTCATGGTTAAAGGTCCACAGATGTTTGGCCATATAGGGTAAATGTCATGGTTAAAGGTCCACAGATGTTTGGCCATATAGGGTAAATGTCATGGTTAAAGGTCCACAGATGTTTGGCCATATAGGGTAAATGTCATGGTTAAAGGTCCACAGATGTTTGGCCATATAGGGTAAATGTCATGGTTAAAGGTCCACAGATGTTTGGCCATATAGGGTAAATGTCATGGTTAAAGGTCCACAGATGTTTGGCCATATAGGGTAAATGTCATGGTTAAAGGTCCACAGATGTTTGGCCATATAGGGTAAATGTCATGGTTAAAGGTCCACAGATGTTTGGCCATATAGGGTAAATGTCATGGTTAAAGGTCCACAGATGTTTGGCCATATAGGGTAAATGTCATGGTTAAAGGTCCACAGATGTTTGGCCATATAGGGTAAATGTCATGGTTAAAGGTCCACAGATGTTTGGCCATATAGGGTAAATGTCATGGTTAAAGGTCCACAGATGTTTGGCCATATAGGGTAAATGTCATGGTTAAAGGTCCACAGATGTTTGGCCATATAGGGTAAATGTCATGGTTAAAGGTCCACAGATGTTTGGCCATATAGGGTAAATGTCATGGTTAAAGGTCCACAGATGTTTGGCCATATAGGGTAAATGTCATGGTTAAAGGTCCACAGATGTTTGGCCATATAGGGTAAATGTCATGGTTAAAGGTCCACAGATGTTTGGCCATATAGGGTAAATGTCATGGTTAAAGGTCCACAGATGTTTGGCCATATAGGGTAAATGTCATGGTTAAAGGTCCACAGATGTTTGGCCATATAGGGTAAATGTCATGGTTAAAGGTCCACAGATGTTTGGCCATATAGGGTAAATGTCATGGTTAAAGGTCCACAGATGTTTGGCCATATAGGGTAAATGTCATGGTTAAAGGTCCACAGATGTTTGGCCATATAGGGTAAATGTCATGGTTAAAGGTCCACAGATGTTTGGCCATATAGGGTAAATGTCATGGTTAAAGGTCCACAGATGTTTGGCCATATAGGGTAAATGTCATGGTTAAAGGTCCACAGATGTTTGGCCATATAGGGTAAATGTCATGGTTAAAGGTCCACAGATGTTTGGCCATATAGGGTAAATGTCATGGTTAAAGGTCCACAGATGTTTGGCCATATAGGGTAAATGTCATGGTTAAAGGTCCACAGATGTTTGGCCATATAGGGTAAATGTCATGGTTAAAGGTCCACAGATGTTTGGCCATATAGGGTAAATGTCATGGTTAAAGGTCCACAGATGTTTGGCCATATAGGGTAAATGTCATGGTTAAAGGTCCACAGATGTTTGGCCATATAGGGTAAATGTCATGGTTAAAGGTCCACAGATGTTTGGCCATATAGGGTAAATGTCATGGTTAAAGGTCCACAGATGTTTGGCCATATAGGGTAAATGTCATGGTTAAAGGTCCACAGATGTTTGGCCATATAGGGTAAATGTCATGGTTAAAGGTCCACAGATGTTTGGCCATATAGGGTAAATGTCATGGTTAAAGGTCCACAGATGTTTGGCCATATAGGGTAAATGTCATGGTTAAAGGTCCACAGATGTTTGGCCATATAGGGTAAATGTCATGGTTAAAGGTCCACAGATGTTTGGCCATATAGGGTAAATGTCATGGTTAAAGGTCCACAGATGTTTGGCCATATAGGGTAAATGTCATGGTTAAAGGTCCACAGATGTTTGGCCATATAGGGTAAATGTCATGGTTAAAGGTCCACAGATGTTTGGCCATATAGGGTAAATGTCATGGTTAAAGGTCCACAGATGTTTGGCCATATAGGGTAAATGTCATGGTTAAAGGTCCACAGATGTTTGGCCATATAGGGTAAATGTCATGGTTAAAGGTCCACAGATGTTTGGCCATATAGGGTAAATGTCATGGTTAAAGGTCCACAGATGTTTGGCCATATAGGGTAAATGTCATGGTTAAAGGTCCACAGATGTTTGGCCATATAGGGTAAATGTCATGGTTAAAGGTCCACAGATGTTTGGCCATATAGGGTAAATGTCATGGTTAAAGGTCCACAGATGTTTGGCCATATAGGGTAAATGTCATGGTTAAAGGTCCACAGATGTTTGGCCATATAGGGTAAATGTCATGGTTAAAGGTCCACAGATGTTTGGCCATATAGTGTAGGTGTGATGGCCAGGGGTCAGTAAAGTTATTAAAGCCTAACTCACAATATATATTTTTTTGTTTTAGATAGGAAGGGAGTTAAAAATTCCTACCAGGTTTTTATTTCTGGCCCCATTGAGGAGACGTTCTTAAATTTTCTGTCCTTTTGACTCCTGTACAAGAAATAGAGGAAACAGTTGTCATGGAGACAGAGAGCATCAGACAGCAATATTGAGCCTTCATCCCACTCAAAATGTGTCCATATTCTTGTATTTGTCCCCATTGGAGAAATTTCCACACCAAATATACAGACAATAACAGAAACCTGACAAATGCTCTTTCCTCGACTCCTCCAGATCCATCCACAATAAAAATAACATTCTGGCTGGAGTTGGGCTTCAAAAGGACATTGCATTGTATTCCACAAACCTTATGATAAAAATTGGACAAGTCCTTTAAAGCTGAACTCCATGGAAAATGTAAAACTACCCTTGAAGTGGGGCTCCTACTGCACTGCAAGGGTTAATTGCTGTTTTTAAAAAAAATCTGGGGTACCACTAAGAAGCATTTTTAGATACCTTATCCATCGCTCACCTGGTAGCCAGTGCTCTCCTCATCTCTCCAGCACTCCAGGTTGTGGGTGGGCCCTCGGCATCCTCACTTACAGTGCAGGACTCTTGTTGACCGTTACATGTGATGATGTTAGATAGCGACTTTTGGCCGGAGCACCAAAGATTACCACTAACATTCCCTTTCTGTGCAATGTCATTCAGAGTTGGAGGCCGATGAATGGTGCAAGATTTTACAAACAGAGTGCCTTGGGACCCGGATCAGCGACATCAGTTTGGGAGAACCAGACCTGTTAGCTACCGGAGTGGAGATAGAGCAGAACGGTAGGTAGAAACGTCTTGCCTAATAAACCTACGTCTTCTGGCCCTTGTGATGGCATTTTGTAGCTGAGCTGTCTCTTGAAACATCTGCATGCTATCCCAAACAACAACATTGTCCCCAAGCAACAGCGTGCTCCTCCTCTCCATTTGCGATCGCTCGTCTCCACTGACAGGCACATGAAACATCCAATCACAGGGCTGTAATGAGGAGAGGTATCAGTTGCCTCTTGTCTCTTGAGATGATTTTTATTTAAGAGTTGATCCAGATAGCATTACATATTCAATTTGGGACTGTGCTGACTGTTCACTAATAATATCTAGATGACTTTTTCTAATGTTTACTGCAATCATTGTGCAAATGGTCACTATATGGAAATTTTTGGCAATGCCAAGGGTGACAGGCGGGTCTGCCAGGTAGTAATAGATAAATGCTTGTATAGTCTAGGAGTTAAGGCATAGGCAGAAATACCCTCCTCATCTCTCCCCTGACAGCACTCTCCTCTGCTTTCAGAATGGAGGTCGAGCATTGGCATCCTTGCATACAGTGCAGGACTGCTGGTCCTACCTTGAACGTAATGATGCTGGTGGTCGCACGACCAGCACAGAAGAGTTGCCTTGTGCGACTGGTTGTATGGCAAGAAAAAGCTTGTGGAAGTGAGGAATAATAGAAGGGCCAGTTCACACCAATTGCGGTGCGATCCAGAGCGGTAGCTGCTGGAACGCACAGCAATCGCACGCTAAACTCCCCCCTTCGTTATGGGGCAGGAGGGGGCGTGGAGGTGCATTGTAATCAATGGCACTGTAGTCGTGCCCCCCGCTCACAGTGCGATCGGACGCGTGGCAAAACATTGCCTGTGTTGTGGTCCAGTTCAAACACAAAAAATAGAGCATGCAGCATTTTTTTGCGTTCGAAATGGACCGGAACGCAGGCAATGTTTTGCCACACGTCCGATCGCACTGCGGGCGGGGGGAATGGCTGCGGTGCTATTGACTTCATTGCTCTGCCATGCCCTCTTCCGGCCAAGAACGAAGGGGAAGTGTAGTGTGCGATTGGTGTACGTTCCAGCAGCTACCGCTCTGGAACAGACCGCATTTGGTGTGAACTAGCCCTAAGTATTTTTGCCTATTCCTTACCCCCTAGACCATGGGGTGGGCAATCTCCGGCCCTCCAGCTGTTGTGGAAGTACAAATCCCACGAGGCATTGCAAGATTCTCACAGCAGCCACAGGCATGACTCCCAGAGACAGATGCATGTTCGAATTTGTAGTTTCACAACAGCTGGAGGGACAAAGTTTGCCCACCCCAGCCCTAGACCAGAACAAGGCAAACCTCTCCCCTCCACCTGTGGTAATACTAAAAAAATCCCTCATGAATCTACCTCTTTGAGTCATACCTTTAGCTGTCAGAGTCTTGCAATGCCTTGCCTTATGGGACTTTTAGATGCTCCACAGGTGGAGGGTCAGAGTTTGCCCACCTCTGCCCTAGACTAAACAAGTTTGTATCCCTTACTACTCTTTAAAGTCACATTCACACTGTTGCACTGAAATTGGCATAACATACTTTGCCACAGTCACCCATGTGTTGCACTCCAGTGCTAATCATTTTGAATGGTACCCTGATTTACATGTGCTTTAGCGCCCCGCAATGCACAGATGGTGCGGATGTTTTAAAACCTTTGTTGCACTGAGCCAACAGCCCATTCGGAATATAGCAGCACACGCTAACTCACATAACATGCATTACCACAGCACAACAGTGTGAATTGGTCCTAAAGGGATGAGTGGGCAGCCCCTAAAGCTGACCTCCAGGCAAATATATGATACCAATGAATGGAGCTCTTTATTTATTAATATATCAACAACTTGTTTCAATGCAAGCATTGAAATTCACTTATCAGCTTCTTGCAGTCCCTGTATAGCAGAGCTTGGACTTTGGAGAAGGAGAAGCAGCACAAGGAGCCAATCAGCTATGTTGTGGGTGCATATGTGCTAACAAGGAGCGTGCTGATAGAAGGCGAGAGCAGTAACAGGGAGATAAGCTCATCACTGTGCTGCTTCTCCTTTTACTTTCCATTCACAGGCTGAGGGAGGGATAAGACCTGTAAATGTTAGTGAACTGCAGCAGAGAAATATCAGATCTCCTCCCAGGGTCGGATTTTCCACAAGGCCAACCAAGGCCCGGCCTTGGGGGCAGCGGGGAGTACAGGGGCAGCAGGGTTGTGGAATTCCTGTCTCCTGATGCCCGGGACATGCAGTTCCGGGTGCAGGGCGGGTAGTTGTTTTCTACATTTAGCCTTGCTTTGGGCAAGCAGAGCTAAATGTACAGCGAGGGAAGCAGCCACTTGTTTTATACAAGTGATCCCGGCGCTGTCGCTGAGATCACTTGTATGCGGCCTGCATACAGGGGGGCGCATTGAGGAACCTGTCCTTGGGGCAGCAGAGAGAGTAAATCCTCTGCCAGGCAGGGCTGTTCTGCTTGGTAGGGCTGTGTAAATTTCAGAACTAGATGGACATAAACACACAAATCCTTTGGCAAGTATAACAGCTCCCATATATGTATTTCACTTCTGTATTTAGCCATTTGCCTGGAGTTCAGCTTTAACCAACATGCCCAGACTTTGCACAAGACTTGGTGAATGACAGAAGGAATGCAATATGTCTCAATTTCTGAATTATATATAATAATGATGATGATGATGATGATGATGTGTTTGTGTGGCGGTTCTCTGACGCAGATTGCAGACTAATCATCTTTTTTTCTCCCAGAGAGATTCAATGTGTATTTGATGCCGTCTCCCAATTTAGATGTCCACGGGGAATGCACGCTGCAGATCACCTGCGAGAACATCTGCCTGTGGGACGTACAAAATCCGAGGCTGAAGCTGGTGTCTTGGCCGCTAAGCTCCCTACGGAGGTACGGGCGGGACCCAGCCTGGTTCACCTTTGAAGCTGGCAGGTGGGTGTAGACACAGCATGAGGAACGATAAAGGGAATGTACACGGATTAACGAGGAAGGGCGGCACAACTTGAGCTCTCTCCTGCTCGTGTTTCCTCATGGCTCTCAAACTGCAAGCCCAAAATGGTGTGTGCATATCAATAGAAAGGCTGATGCAAGGTGATCCTGTGACATTTAGGCCTCATTCACACGACAATCGGCCGGCACGTACAGCTCCGTGCTGCGTGCACGGCCGTATGGGGCAGCTCCCGGGAAGGACAGGTGCTGCGTGTGATTAGTACGCAGCCCGTGTCCTTCTCCGTACGCAGCCCTACGCTCACCCCAAGTGCAGGTCCGTATGGGTGCGGGTGTCCTAGCTCGGATGCAAACAGGATCCATCTTGTCAGCGTACGAGACACCCGCACCCATACGGCCGTGCCTGCAGCACGGAGCTGTACGTGCCAGCCTTTTCTTGTGTGAATGAGGCCTTAAGTACTTACATATTCTTAACAAGCAGTAACAAAGCCGGCAGCCAATCACCTGCTTGCTCCATTAGGGCATTCTGACAGCAGCCAGCAGTCAGAATACAATAGAAACAGCAGAAGATTTGTCCGTCAATGATCATAAGCGTTGAGGGAGGAATCTGTTCGCTCAGCCCGTCCGTTGAACGAAAAAAAGAGAACCAGGTATACCCCACTTTGCACAACACCCAGCATACAGACTGGTCACAGTAATGCAATCCCTGTCCTCAAAGGAGCTTACAATCTAATGTGCGCCATAAACACGCAGACACTGCTGGACCTGTCTGGTCAGATTGCCAATGAACCTACCAGCACATCTTCTGGTGACAGAAGGAAACCGAATGCCCAGAGAAAGACCACACAAGGAGAACCCACAACCCCAACGCTGCACCGTAGACCATGGACGCACAGCGCAATAATCCAAGGGTTGAGGACGCCGCAGGCTGGCTGCTTCTGCTGCAACATGTATCCCAGATAGCAAGCAAGTGAGCTGCAAGTTTGAAAATGACTTGCTAAACTATTGCTACTGCTACTTGCCGAGCTTAACAATTGTGTTGCACAATTACAGCAAGTCTGCATTGCAAGTCTCCAGATCAACATGCTTTACAAAAGTGCTGTACACTCACAGAGCTCTTGCCAAGACCTGCAGTACTTTTGATGTAGACTTGCCAAGCAAATCTACAACAAATTAAAAAAAGTGTCAAGTTGCGAGTGTTCTGCAAGTCTACAATGTGCCACGAATGTGTGCAGCAAGTTACCAAGAATTACAATTTCACCCTGCTGCAAGTTTGGGGCAAGTTATCCTTACTATCCGGGTATACAGTTCCTATACACCTGTTTAATAGGTGCATAGGAAGGGGTTAAATCTGCCATGTGCACACAGATCATTACAAAGACACATATAATAAACGTTCATTTCTGAAGGCAAAACTATCCCAAAAAATGCAAGCTCCTTTCATGTGTGCTCTGACAGTAAATGCATCCCTGGAGTCCCAGCATGAGCGCAAGATTGGCAGGTATGCTCACACCTGTGGGGGGAGCTGATCAGAGTCCCAGGAATGACATAACTTCCTGTAGAGATCTACAAAAAACACAGAGGACAGGTGAGTTCTCAGGTTATTGTGCTGTGTGTACACAGTTGTCTCCTCGCTGCACTCTGTGTGCTACATTGTATACAAATATTGATATTGCTTTGTACCTGATGTGATTAGTATCCTGAGTCTCTTCTTCTACTATCTGCTTTATTTGTCAACAAGACTTGCTGGAATCCCCAGCGGTAGACATAGATCATAGCCTGTCATTGTAGGGGAAGGAGGTGTGTGCTATGTGGATGTGATGGTCATGTGCAGAGTCATGTCCGGCACCAAGACATCAATCTTCCATCATTAGAATACTTCATATCTACTGGCTTCTCATATCTCAGTGGTGGAGATTTCAGCCATCATTCTCCTGCACTTGTCCTGTCCACTCTGGGATGTTTCCAAATCTGTTGCACTTTGAGAATTTAAAATAAATAAAATAATCCAACAGGCATGGTGGGGGCCCCTCATAATGGGCACAGCGGGTGTACAGACCCAGGAACTCAGCACAGGGATGGTGGGAGCTCCTCATAATGGGCACAGCAGGTGTACAGACCCAGGAACTCAGCACAGGGATGGTGGGAGCTCCTCATAATGGGCACAGCAGGTGTACAGACCCAGGAACTCAGCACAGGGATGGTGGGAGCTCCTCATAATGGGCACAGCAGGTGTACAGACCCAGGAACTCAGCACAGGGATGGTGGGAGCTCCTCATAATGGGCACAGCAGGTGTACAGACCCAGGAACTCAGCACAGGGATGGTGGGAGCTCCTCATAATGGGCACAGCAGGTGTACAGACCCAGGAACTCAGCACAGGGATGGTGGGAGCTCCTCATAATGGGCACAGCAGGTGTACAGACCCAGGAACTCAGCACAGGGATGGTGGGAGCTCCTCATAATGGGCACAGCAGGTGTACAGACCCAGGAACTCAGCACAGGGATGGTGGGAGCTCCTCATAATGGGCACAGCAGGTGTACAGACCCAGGAACTCAGCACAGGGATGGTGGGAGCTCCTCATAATGGGCACAGCAGGTGTACAGACCCAGGAACTCAGCACAGGGATGGTGGGAGCTCCTCATAATGGGCACAGCAGGTGTACAGACCCAGGAACTCAGCACAGGGATGGTGGGAGCTCCTCATAATGGGCACAGCAGGTGTACAGACCCAGGAACTCAGCACAGGGATGGTGGGAGCTCCTCATAATGGGCACAGCAGGTGTACAGACCCAGGAACTCAGCACAGGGATGGTGGGAGCTCCTCATAATGGGCACAGCAGGTGTACAGACCCAGGAACTCAGCACAGGGATGGTGGGAGCTCCTCATAATGGGCACAGCAGGTGTACAGACCCAGGAACTCAGCACAGGGATGGTGGGAGCTCCTCATAATGGGCACAGCAGGTGTACAGACCCAGGAACTCAGCACAGGGATGGTGGGAGCTCCTCATAATGGGCACAGCAGGTGTACAGACCCAGGAACTCAGCACAGGGATGGTGGGAGCTCCTCATAATGGGCACAGCAGGTGTACAGACCCAGGAACTCAGCACAGGGATGGTGGGAGCTCCTCATAATGGGCACAGCAGGTGTACAGACCCAGGAACTCAGCACAGGGATGGTGGGAGCTCCTCATAATGGGCACAGCAGGTGTACAGACCCAGGAACTCAGCACAGGGATGGTGGGAGCTCCTCATAATGGGCACAGCAGGTGTACAGACCCAGGAACTCAGCACAGGGATGGTGGGAGCTCCTCATAATGGGCACAGCAGGTGTACAGACCCAGGAACTCAGCACAGGGATGGTGGGAGCTCCTCATAATGGGCACAGCAGGTGTACAGACCCAGGAACTCAGCACAGGGATGGTGGGAGCTCCTCATAATGGGCACAGCAGGTGTACAGACCCAGGAACTCAGCACAGGGATGGTGGGAGCTCCTCATAATGGGCACAGCAGGTGTACAGACCCAGGAACTCAGCACAGGGATGGTGGGAGCTCCTCATAATGGGCACAGCAGGTGTACAGACCCAGGAACTCAGCACAGGGATGGTGGGAGCTCCTCATAATGGGCACAGCAGGTGTACAGACCCAGGAACTCAGCACAGGGATGGTGGGAGCTCCTCATAATGGGCACAGCAGGTGTACAGACCCAGGAACTCAGCACAGGGATGGTGGGAGCTCCTCATAATGGGCACAGCAGGTGTACAGACCCAGGAACTCAGCACAGGGATGGTGGGAGCTCCTCATAATGGGCACAGCAGGTGTACAGACCCAGGAACTCAGCACAGGGATGGTGGGAGCTCCTCATAATGGGCACAGCAGGTGTACAGACCCAGGAACTCAGCACAGGGATGGTGGGAGCTCCTCATAATGGGCACAGCAGGTGTACAGACCCAGGAACTCAGCACAGGGATGGTGGGAGCTCCTCATAATGGGCACAGCAGGTGTACAGACCCAGGAACTCAGCACAGGGATGGTGGGAGCTCCTCATAATGGGCACAGCAGGTGTACAGACCCAGGAACTCAGCACAGGGATGGTGGGAGCTCCTCATAATGGGCACAGCAGGTGTACAGACCCAGGAACTCAGCACAGGGATGGTGGGAGCTCCTCATAATGGGCACAGCAGGTGTACAGACCCAGGAACTCAGCACAGGGATGGTGGGAGCTCCTCATAATGGGCACAGCAGGTGTACAGACCCAGGAACTCAGCACAGGGATGGTGGGAGCCCCTCATAATGGACACAGCTGGTGTACGGACCCAGAACTCAGCACAGGGATGGTGGGAGCCCCTCATAACGGTCACAGCAGGTCATGCTAAATCCACAATGGAAACAAACATGATTCTTCATCAGTTTCATCTGGAAAAATTCGTACTTCAGTAATTGAATGAAGGATGGCCGCACTGTGTTCATATTTGTAGATGAAGTCAGAATATTGAAGGGTCAGATGATTGGATGGCTGAATGCATCCCGGTAAATTATGTCACTAATTTTGCACCTACAGGATGTCTGGAGATCTGGGCATGTTATCAGTTTACTGTCCTGACAGCTTCACCTTCTAAGTCCATAAGAGCAAAGCAACAAATTAATGTTAATGATGATTCCACCAGCTGCTTATATTATATCCTTCCCTTCCCTGGGAGCAATATCCTGTACTCGTAGGCATGGGGGAAGCAGGGAAGGCAAAATATAAGCAGATTAAACTTCCGCAGCAGCTAAAGCAAAAAACAAAAATGTAATATATCGCAGATTTCCAGTCCTTAGATGTGGTAGCTGCATTGGTTTAAATTCTTCAGTTTCCTTTATGTCAGCTGGTGATACTGTCAGTAACACACTTCCTGTCCTAGGTTGGCTATGCATACTTACAGTACTGTATGGAGGGAGCCATGGGTGCCACCCAGGCTGGACGAACATGTCTGACTTTGTACAACTTCAATAGATGAAAGGTTGGGGGATTAGTAGTTTACAGAAGGAAGATAACATTGTCGAACCGAAGGGCTGCTGTACGGGCTATTCAGTATAACCCGTACAGCTCCCGAAGCTTGCCAAGCGGCTCGACTGAGCCGAAGTGAACTTCCGAAGCATAGCGAACACCTCGCAAGCGACAGCTGGGCGGAGCCAGCTGTGATCTCACGGCTGGCTCCGCCCAGTTGCAATGACAGATCAGCGTCCCTAGGTGACCTGGGGACGCTGAATTTAAATTGTCATTAAACAATGACAACTGGGCGGAGCTGGCTGTGGCCAGTTGTTATTCATTGGCTGGGACCTGCTAAAAGACTCTAGCAGGTCCCGGCCAATAAGAAACAGGTGGGTGGAGCTAGCTGTCACTGCTAGCTCCGCCCAATTCTTTTAAACTTGTAAAATAAAAATTTAAACAAATCTTTATTTATGTTTTTAAATTTATCATTTATTTACATTTTGAAACATTTTTTTCTACTTTTTTCACTGATTTTCTATTCCGCTCAGTACCACGGAGGTACCGAGCAGAATAGCCGAGCCGAATGCCGCATGTTTGGCTGACCGAAGTGCATCGGAAGCCAGCCGATGTATGGCTGAAATCAGCTGTACAAACCTGAAGTGAATAACCGAACAGCGTTTGGCTCACTTCACTTCGGGTGAGTTATTCACTCGGCTGCCTTCGGCAGCTTTGTTTTATGCTTCTAGTTCAGCTCACAGGAAGTTCGCAGAGCATTTCATGTCTGGCACGATCACCGGGTATTTTCTGTACTCGCTGAAAAAAAAAAGACTAATGAAGCCGCCAAATCCGAGGCCGGGTAAGCTGCGGTATATGACATTTTTGTAGGTTGGTTGCTTTAAATCCAGTATCTGGATTGCCAGTTTGTGACCCCCGGCCAGTTGTTTGCAGTGTTTCCAGACAGACATCTGAGGCTGATAATATTTTTATCAGTTTGCTGTTTGCACAGGTTGGGATGGAAGCGCTTTGAACTAATGTGTTTGGCCGTAGCTTCAGTCGAGTCTCATCACGCGTTTTTGTGTTTGTCTGTTGGCAGGATGTGTGACACTGGGGAGGGCCTCTTTATCTTCCAAACCAGAGAAGGCGAAGCCATCTATCATAAAGTTCACTCGGCGGCGCTGGCGATAGCGGAGCAGCACGATCGGTTACTGCAAAGCGTCAAGAATTCAATGGTAAGTGCTGACGGTTATTATATCACATACCTGGAATGAAGGAGCCATTCCAAAAAACATCCTTGGGGTGGCTGTCATGCAGTAGCCAGTGTATAAATAATATATCCAAACTTGCTGCATGCTCGTTCAAGGTCAGTGACTCAGACGTGGCCGGACTGCTAACATTTGTAAGGCGTAGGTCAGCGGTGACAACCTCCTCTGTGTGGAGGAGACAACCTTTGTCTCAAAGATTTGTTATGACAATGAGTATATGCAAAGTCATAACTAGTTTTGATTGGTCTTGATGGAGGGTAGAAGGGTTAGAAGCCTTGGCAGTTTTTGTTGTTGTTGTTGTTGTTGAATGTGTCCTTGCTGGGAGATTCGCCCTCTCTATTTGTCCTGGTGAGTGTTTTACTCCAATACAGAAAGTGATGGGAAATCCAAACTTATACAGTTGCCACCGGAACAGTAATAAAGGGGAAATCTTCCAGTGGGGACACATGTTCTGGTGACAATTGTCTGAGAGACATGTAAAGAAGGATGAGTGGGACACAAATCTCATCAGCAGAGGTAACCTTGGGGGTCCCCGGGGTAATCTGAAGAATGGCAAGACGGATGAGTGGGCCACAAATCTAATCAGCAGAGGTAACCTTGGGGGTCCCCGGGGTAATCTGAAGAATGGCAAGACGGATGAGTGGGCCACAAATCTAATCAGCAGAGGTAACCTTGGGGGTCCCCGGGGTAATCTGAAGAATGGCAAGACGGATGAGTGGGCCACAAATCTAATCAGCAGGGGTAACCTTGGGGGTCCCAGGGGAATCTAAAGAATGGCAGGAAGGATGAGTGGGCCACAAATCTGATCATCAGGGGCAACTTTGGGAGTTCCTGGGGTAATCTGAAGACTGTCAAGAAGGATGAGTGGGCCACAAATCTTATCAACAGGGGTAACCTTGAGCCCATGTGTTTTAAGGGTGTCCAAAAACATCCCCTTCATTAGGGATTGAGCTGTGATGGCAAAGCTTCTAGCTGGTTTGGCAGCCATATCTCATACGCATTTCAGGCCCCCAACTTTACCCTAATTTGGGCCCAGCGCTCTACCAACTTATCTAAGAGGAGCATTTTCCTCCCTTTAGAGAGAATGTCTTTCAATTTCTTTTGCGTCTCAGATATAAGAAGTCAAGGGAAATTTCTCTAATGGAGCCGCAGATAGCAGTAATGACTAGGGACACATCGATACTGGTTTTTCAGTATCCAGTACGAGTACCGATGTTTATATTTCAGTACTCGCCGATACCGGTACTTCTGGTAGCACGGAGCCAGCTTCCCGGACAATCGGGAAGCCTGGCGGCATTACTTGCCACCTGGCTTCTCGTTTGCCCAGGAAGCCAACCTCGTAGTGTTTGGCCGGGAAACCGGCTTCCCAGCCAATCAGCGCGAGCATCCCAGTTAATCAGCATGGAGCTGGCTTCCCGGCCAATTAGGAAGCCGGGAGGCCGTTCATTACCCACTGCCTGGCTTCTTGATTGGCTGGGAAGCCGACTCCATGCTGATTGGCCGGGAAGCCGGCTCCATGTTCACCAATGGCACTGCCAGTCAGAGGAAATTGGGGGTAAGTATCGGAGCATTTGTCCGAGCACGAGTACGAGCCCAACTACTCGGTATCGCCACCGATACCGTTACTAGTATTGGAGCATCCCTAGTACAAAAAAAACAACAGGGGTTCTAGTCTTTACCCGCTCAGAAAAATGAAGACGTTTTGGCTGCACATACACAAGAGTTTTTTTGTCCAACATGAAAAAAAAAAGCCTGCCGCCCTCGAATGACCATCGGCCCCTGGCCTCGGAGTGCTCCTGTAATGTTGATGGAACACAGAGTAGTTCATTCAGAAAAGCTTTTATGTGTAGTGTTTTGCAATGAGAACTGATAAAAAATGTTTTCCAGTTCCGCAGGTGAGCGTGTTTTCTCAGCGCAGTGCACTTAGTACGCTCCTTAATTAGCTAAATAAATACACTCTGTTATATTTATTTACACCATGTGACAGCGCTGTCTCCTAGCGATGTGCTCTGCTAATTAAGATTTTATTTTTCATTACGGATGCCGTAATTACCATCCATCAATGCATTCATCATCCAGGTGTACCTGGAAGAGTCTGTCCTCCGGCTCCAGCCGCCGGCAGTCTTCATCCATCCAACCGTATTCCTATGAGCCGGCTGAGGATTCTGCAAGGAAAATCTGTCATGACTTAAATACGCGGAGCACATCAAACGCGTAAAACCGGCAACTCAGTGCGTGCCGCCATATAATGGATCATAACTCGCACCATCAAAGACCGATGTGGATATTCAACAGACTAGACATGTAAGCTGCGGAAAAATTCAGGTTCGGTTAGGATTTTTCATTATTTCATGGATTCAGGTCCAAAATGCAAATGCAATTCGGTTTGGGCTTTGGATTCGGAGGAAATCCGAATTTTAGTTAGTTTCGGATGAGTTTATGAACGAATATTCGTTGCGAATACCACAGAAAACCATTTACAGATATTAATACTGAAGCTGAATCTTGTAGACCCGAATGGCATTCCGGAGTCCGAATTTCCAAATTGCATTCGGGAGCTCCAGAAAGCAATACGGGTCTGGGAGCCATATACATACAGGGGCACCGAGGCATGGCCTCAGGGCAGCAGGGAGTAGAGGGGCAGCACAGCCACTGGACGGGTAGTTTTTGTCTACATTTAGCCCTGCTTCGGGCAAGCAGGGCTAAATGTACAGCGGGAAGCGATGCCGTCGAGTCAACCCTGCCATCTGGTTGCCATTCTCCATTGTCTGCAGAGAGAGTAAACCTGGCCCTGTATACATTACATACATAATATTAAAGCTTTTGCTTCCAGACCCGAATGGCATTCGGGAACTCCTGAATGCTACTCGGAAACTCGGACTCCATTTGGGTCTTGGAGCCTGAGGTTTATTATTATCTATGTACAATAACGAATATTCATTGCAGCAACATTGGGAGCCATATACACTGAGTGGCCAGATTATTATGACCACCTGACGTTTGTAGGTAAATTAGCTATAATTTGGCGCTGAAGTTGCTAGAGGGCCAGACCATTATAAATAGGGAAGCAGGTTGGTTACCACGACAGTAGAAGTGATTTGTTTCTGAAGATACGGGGAAACAACGCGATGTAACAGCCTTTGAACGTGGGATGATTGTTGGCGCTCGGAGCCATGGAGCGAGTATCAGCAAAACAGCAGAATTCGTTAAATGTTCAAGAGCAGCTGTTGTTAAAGTGTTCAAAGACCGGACTGTCAGCCGAAAATCTGGGTCTGAACGTGCGAATTGTGGCCGTCAGCGACTAGTCAATGTTAGGGCAGAACGGGGGAGGGGCAAGACTGGTACAAGAAAACAGAAGGGCAACAGTGCCGTGTCAGATTCCTCGCATCACCTTTCACCATCTCGTGGAGTCACCAGGCGACGAAGTCATCTCATGCAGTCATCTCGTGGCCCAACGAAGTACTGATGGGGTGGTCATAATAATCTGGCCACTCGGTGTATACATCAAACTAAAGCTGAGGTTCCCAGAATTCGGATTCAGACCCATTCGGATGCATTATAAAATTAAATGACATATCTGATTGGCCAGAAAAGTAAACGAAATTCGGACGGGATCAGAAATTTCGGAAATGAAAATTCGGATTTGAGCACATTTGGATGCATTGGGATTCGGAAATGTGGATGTGTCTGAACGTACACATTTTGATTCGGAACAAAACGAATAGCACATGTCTACAACAGACCCGTGTGCTGGCATCTGCGTGCATGAACATGATGACCCCAGGCATGGAGATGCCAGAGGGCGGGAGTACTGACAACAATGAGCGGCTGTGTTGGGTATCTACCATTATATAGTGACATGGGCATAACGCAAACATTAGTATTGGAAGTGTTTCCTTTTTGTACCAGCACATGTGACCTACTCTTTAAGTTAGTGGAACCCGTGGAGCATGTCCGAATATTCATGTATGCACAGAATGGCGATTTGGAAACTTTCTGTTCGTGAGTTGAGGAAGTGTTGGTGAAGTTCTGATGGTTTTGATTTTTAAATGTGTAAAGCAGAGGGCGCTTTCTAGAAGTAGATGGGCCCAGATGTGTCCTCAAGGCACCACCCATGGTGCAGTGAAGGGAAAAAGAGCATGCAATCATACTTGTACGTGCTTCATGTATTATATTGCATCTTTGGGGTTAATTTATAAAAGGTACATAGTATTTGAGGTTAAAAAAAGACACAGGTCCACAAGTTCAACCTTTGTGTGTGTGTGAGTGTCTCTTGTGCGTGCATGTGTGTATAAGAGTCCATGTGTGGTCTAGTATTTAAGTGTACGTATACCCTGCCGGGTGTGTACTGTTTACACAGCACAAGCGCCCCTAGGTGGTCCGACAAGTATATGAATGTCCTATACTGGTCAGCACCACCTAGGGGCGCTAGTGCCATGTGAATGGCTTTCGCCCAGTGTATTTAACTTTCATAACTAAACCCTTTAGCATTGCTGATCTTCTCCAGCCCATTTCAGCCTCTTCCTATCTTAACACACTGTCTCCAGCATCAGCTGTACATTATCACTCTGGACCGGCATGGAGGACCATGCTAGCACAATTTGTGTTGGTGCAGCCGCTTGTAGTCTTCACCAGGGGCTCATATGACAGGGTCACAATGAAGCAGCACAACTGGGAGATGGTTGCCACCCCACAACAAGTAGTGTCTAATTCCAAAGAACCTCATTAAAGGCTTAGTTGAGCTTTCGGACCGTGTTTTATGTTACACCGATATTTAGGGTGCAAAAATTAAACATGGTCCGTTCACAGCATTCAGAGAATTCCCCTTTTAAAGTGTTCCTGTGCCCCCACTAGTTACAGAAAAGTATTTGCATGCTCTGAATCAGCAGTAGAAACACTTTAAACCAGCACTCATTCGCCTCTGTAGCTATAGGCACTGTGGGGAAATCCATCCTCAAAATTCATGA